GAGAGAGAGAGAGAGAGAGAGAGAGAGAGAGAGAGAGAGAGAGAGAGGGAGGGAGGGAGGGAGAGGGAGGGAGAGGGAGGGATAGGGAGGGAGAGAGAAAGAGAGGGAGGGAGAGAGAGATATTATATTAAACCAGGGCACTCTATCAATAAGCTACATGTCCAGCTCTTTTTAAAATTTTTTATTTTGAGGGGCACTGAGGATCAAACCTCAGGTGCTCTACCACTGAGCCACATCTCCAGCACTTTCTAGTTTATTTTCAGACAGGATCTTGCCTAGTTTCCAGGGCTGGCCTTGAACTTGTGATTCTCCTGCCTTGACCTCCAGAGTCACTGGGATTACAGGGTGCAGTGCTAACATTTTATTAGGCTCAATATCCCACCCCACTGATTGCCAGGGCTGAAACCCCACTTCCCACAGATAACTGCTGGAAAAGGGAGGCTTGTTTTCAGATATCTGTGACTATTTGCTATATCAAAACTCAATTAATGGTAGTTTCTTTAGGGTTAATTGCTGCGTTGAYACAATAAATGCTGGATAGTTTATCAATTACCTTTTACTTAGAATGGATATTTTTTCATGTTCTATTTTAGTACACTCCTGATTCTAAAATATCATGCATTGGTCATTTGGAATATTTGTTCAATGACCTTCAGTACATTGATATGGTTRATTATACCTATCGGAAAAAGAATCACATCGCACTGATGGACCAATCTAATCAGAAAGTTCTGAGGAGCTATCAATTTGCCAATGTAAATTTTCTGAACTTCAAATTTTCTTGGAAGTCCGAATTTATCACTGGCAATGGATGCCATCAGTTGTTTTCATCAAGTTCCAGCCTCACTCCACTCATTTTTGCAGAAATGTTTTACAGAGCCCTGATTCCTGCACAGGTGTTGACAGCTTTACTGCTGTTTGTCCTGTCAGTGCAAATGTCACCACAGTGCAATAGGCAAATTATGTCTTGGTGTTATCATGAAGTCAGCTTTCACCTCAGATTCCCTCTTAAAGGGTCTTTGGAACTCCCAAGGCCGTGACCACATTATGAAACTGCTGTCCTGTTGAACTCAGGTGCAGCAGGGGACGTATGATATTCATGGCAACACTGCTCCTCAAAGCCCCCCAGTGGCCACTGACAGAAGTATGAATTAATAAATTCTAACGTCAAACCACAATATAGCTGGGAAARCAAATTACTTAGACTACAGGAAACAACTGGCGCTACCAGTGTTACTTATGCTAAGCAGCTTGCCTTGGGAGAGTTTACGTAAAGTATATAGTTCTTTTTTTTTTTTTTTTTTTCATTTAAATTACTGGGGATTGAATCTAGGAGTGCTTTACTTCTGAGCTACGGCTCCAACCCTTTTTTTGGAGACAGAGTCTTGCTGAGTTGTGGAGGCTGGCCTTGAACTTGCAATCCTCCTGCCTTAGCTTCCTAAGTCACTGGGATTACAGGTGTGGCCACCAAGCCCAGGTAAATGTGAAGTCTATCTTGAAACATGGAGATTCTCACGTACCTGGATCATGTCAGCCGGCTTGTTTATGTGCTCTTTAAAGATCAAGATGGTGGGGGCATATACATTGATGTTATACTGCCTGGTCATCTCCTCCACCCCTCTCAAACCGACATATACATATCCAAATGACAAATAATCTTTGTATGCAAAAGCGGTCAACTGTGAGAGCATAAGGGAGAAGAAAATGAAGTTTATAGCATGCCATCTAAGGTACAAATCAAATGGCAAGTTGACATCAATGGGTGGAGATGCACATCCCCACACAGCCCCACCAGGTCTCTTACACCCTCCCACACCTCCTGAATGTCATGGCGTTCCAGCACAAAAATTGTACCAATAAAAGTAAACAGCTATTTTTTTTTTTCCACAGATAAAGTAAAATAATCATTTTATTGAGATTTGTACTAGATCTAAGGCTGGGATGTTTGGAGAGTTATGTCAGAAGGCAGTGGCTGTGCCAATGGACGGGCACTCTCCTCTCATCTCAGGTCACAGTGATGACAGAGGTGAGTGGGAAGTGTAGTCCAGGRTCTCACAAAGAGCAGGTGTGCAGTGAGACCAGGGGCAGGCTGGATGTCCGCYGTGAGCCTCAGCTCACGTCTTGGTCTCTAGAATACGGATAATATTCCTACCCCTAGATTCCTCTAGGGACGGAGGGCACCTGGGGGCGGAGAGCACTCGCACATGAGGTGATCAGCACCCTGAGGTGCTCCATGGGCACCGGTGAGGAAAATGTCTGGGCTTCAAACGTTTCTCATGCAATTAACTAGCACAGGCTCAGTGTTCCTTGTCTGAAATGCCTGGGAMGAGTGTTTTGGATTTTTTCAGATTTTGGAATATTAAAATATGCACAGTGAGACAGCCTGGGGGCAGGGCCGAGCCATGACACACCTGATTTGTTTCATATCCCCTGGACACACACAGCCTGACAGTAATTTTAYGCAGTATTTCTAGCGCACCTGCATTTTGACGGTGCCCTATCCACGAGGTTGAGTGTGAAATTTCCCACTCATGGTGCCATAAAAGTGCTTAGAAAGTTTCTGATTATGGAGCTTTCAGATTTTGGTTTTATGGGTTAGGGAGGCTCAGATTCACTTGTACTTACAAAAAGACACACAGGTTACAAGTGTTCCACCTAAAATATAAGAACACTTTACCAGATATAAGTACCTTGTACAGCAGTGGCACAGTAGGCCCCTGGTCGAACAGAAGGACGTGCGGTTTATTCTCTTGCTGCCAGCCAGAGAGGAATCGGATGTAATTTTTATTTGTAACCTTAAATTGAAAAGAGGACGTTAGTTTCAATATTTATTCTTTTTTTTTTTAAAGATAGAGAGAGAGAGAGAGAGAGAGAGAGAGAGAATTTTTTAATATTTATTTTTAGTTTTTGGCAGACACAACATCTTTGTTTGTATGTGGTGCTGAGGATCGAACCCGGGCCGCACGCATGCCAAGAGAGTGCGCTACCGCTTGAGCCACATTCCTAGCCCTCAATATTTATTCTTTTTTTTTTTTTTGATT